CACTCCAGGGGAAAGTTACTGCAAAATTCCCATTCCCTCCCCACTCCAGGGGAAAGTTACTGCAAAATTCCCATTCCCTCCCCACTCCAGGGGAAGGATACTGCAAAATCTCCATTCCCACCAGTGTTACTATCATCCCTATCCTACTGTCCTCATTTAGTCGTCCCCATTTCATTCATACTCACGTTTATTTTTATAACCTCTGGGATCCCCAAACTTGGCAACTTTAAGACTTGTGGACTTCAATTCCCAGAATTCTCCAGCCAGCTTCATTAATCTAATTAACCAATTAGATGTTTAATTAAAGGGTTAATCCTCCCTTCTTCCCCGTCTTCCGATCATGATTTGACATTGATGGTATTGTCATTTTATTGGGCTAGGCGCAATTTGTTGTTGATTTTTATGTCTTATGTGCTGGCTGGAGAATTCTGGGAGTTGAAGTCCACAAGACTTAAAAGTTGCCAAGTTTGAAGATCTCTGTTATTACCTATTATTTTGCAAACGATTCACCAATCAAACAGATAAAATAAAACAAACGAACCTACTGAAGAGGAAAAAGGGGGGAAAAAAAGTTGGCCGTAGCGAATTCTCCCCGAGGCGCAGGCGAATGCAAGGCGAGGCCGCCCAACCTCGCCGGCTGGAAGCGGAGGCTGAGTCCGGGCAAGGGGCGGAGCCGCCGCCGGGATCCTCCGCCTCCCCTCGCCTCTTGCTGGGCGCCCGGCTTGCGACGCGCTTTGGCGGGAAGCGGCGTTTTCGGAAGAGCCGCGGAGCGAGAGGACTCGCGGGAGGAGGCGGGTGAGCGCAACCCAGGCAGGAGCCGCCGTCGGGACTCGGGCTGTCCCTACAGCCCAGCAGCTGGAGGGAGAGGCTGGGGTGGGGGTGGGGGTAGAGGGGTGGGCTTTGTCCCGGGAGGGGCTCCGGGCTCTGGACGGACAGGCCGGGCTTGCCTCCCCCCCCACTCCTGCCGCCCTGCCTGGACTCGTCGCTGCGTTTTTCCCCCAGCCGAGTTGGGGGTTTGCAAAGTAAAGGGGAGGGGGGCGCCCGCTTGGGAAAGGTAGCTCCGTTATTGTAGGTTCAACTCCGCCCATCCCCCTCCCGTTTTCAGCTGCTCTCCCCCCCCCCCAAAAAAAAACGTTTAGCATTATTTACGCGCTGGGTTGGTCTCCCTTTAGGGCAGGGGTCCCCAAACTTGGCAACTTTTAAGACTTGCGGACTTCAACTCCCATAATTCTCCAGCCAGCAGAG